AGCGGTTCGCTCCTTCCAGCTCAACCGTGAGAGCTTCGGGCTACTGTAGCAGGCAGAGCCAGAGGGTGCTTAGCTGGTGTGGCACCATGGTTACTGTGTTAAATGTCAAAAGAAATTCCTATTTGGTTACAGAAGAGCAAGGCAAAATATGCCAAACAAACATAGTTAAACATCAGTGGTGCTTTTACACGATGGAGAAATTTGGTGTTCAAGATGCCGAACTTGCAGAGTCTCAAGTCCCAGATAATATAGTAAGTTATTGTAAGTATAAGAATAATCATAAGGCTGTGATGAGTGTATAGGGCATTTGCGAAGGTTAAAGTTTTAATATACTCTATTTTTTTCTTAATTTTCTAATATATGGTTTAACTATTTGAATATTCACAGTGTCCCTAGGAGGTGTGCAGATGTCATTACCATCTTGCATTGTCAAATTTCCTAGCCAAGTTAGAGGTTGTTCAAAGGCATAAAAATTTGAATCACTGTGTGAGCAAAACTATTTTATTTTCTCCTCACTAGCTTTCACAAGATCACAAGATGTACTTTAAAGCCCATTTCGTATAAAGGGTTAAGAACTGCAGTAAACCATGACACACTGTCACACTGACTATATAATCGAATGATTTCATTGCTCTTGTGACACTTTCATGTTACTGCATGTCCAATCCATCTCTGACTATATGAGAAATTGTGGAGTGCGAGTCTGTTTCATTTAATAAACTCTTTTCAAAGAGGCATATTATGAACAACTGGTAGCTTTGTAATCTGGACAAAAGCCAAAGGCATGATTCGTACAGTGCTCAGAGGAATAAAGTACTCAGATGTTTGTACACCACATAAATTCTTGTAACTTTGAGTCCTAGCAGATGGAGGCAAAGTTTGTATGAGAGAACTTTCCAAAACTGAAAGCAATTAAGACACTCTGTAAAAGATGCCATTCTGTGACGCGATAAGAGAGGGAGTCTATGTTGAAACCTAAATATTCTGTGTGCTATGGGAGCTATGGGAGCTGAACTGTATATTAAAAGTCCTAAGAAAAATTTAACATCAAGTAGGAACCTTTGTTCACTTATTCACATGAAGAGGAGTATATTATTATGTATAATCCTTGTAGGGCGATGTCCTTATGCCTGTTTCACAACAGGGAAAAACTGCTTTTAAACATCTGCTAAAAACCCGTGTAAAGGATCTAAGGATTCTTAAATGCAAACTGTGTATTACATCAAAAGAGCAATCATACATTTTTGTTGTATTTGTGTATATGTTTTTATTCATTTATAATAATTTATTCATACAGTATATTCACATTATAATTTATAATCATTAGCCATTTATCTAACTTCTCATTTGCTTATTTTTATCATTTATCATTATCCTTATATCATGTTATTTTTATTATTTGATCATTGATTTAATCATTGATACTTTTTATGTTTTACATTTCTTATTTTCCTTGCTTATGCATTTTCATTGTTGTTTCATCTTATGATTGTGGAGTTTCATGAACTGTTTTGTCTATATGAATAAGAGATAAGAGGAAATGTTTATGGAAAATTCAAGGTTTATAGGATGTTGTTGTGAAGCAGTTTGTATAACGCTACTTGTTGGATTTGTGCTGGTCAGACAAAGTCCAAGCATTGAAATATACACAACTAAGATTATTCAATAAACTTTTTTTTATCATCATTACTTCGTCTCCTGCTTCTGCTCTTCTCTGGCTTTAATCAGTCAACTCTTGGCTTGAAGACTGTTAATACAGTTTTGGGTACCAGACAAGACTTGATGTTAATTGGATTTGGGTATCAACAAAACTGCTGACTAGTTGTTTGGATACCAGACAAAATGGATATGCCATCTGGGCCTATCAGACCTGGAGACTCGATCTAACATGTGGGACTAATGACAGACAGAACAGGACTCTTTGATACTTTAGGCCACCAGTATGCAAACCTAAGGAATTATCTGTGAAAGAAGTAAATATATGTGAAAGTAAACCAAATCAATGAGCACTGGTGTGTCAGTATCCTGAACATAATATTTCTAGAAGCTTGTTTAACACAAATACTGTAAAACCAAAATGGGGCAAATTGATAAGCATTTACATTGTACTTTACACTGCTCATTTACACTCTTCCACTTTATATTTTACAAGCTGCAACAGTTTGGAAAGAGAACTCTCTCCTCTGACATGCTTAATGAAAAAAAACAGCATATGCTGGTTAGGTATGTTTTGAAGCATGATAGCTGGTTTGAGCTGGTTTAAGCTGGTCCTGAGCTGGTCCTAAGACCAGTTTAGGACCAGCTTAAACCAGCTCATGACCAACTAGGGACCGGCTTAAACCAGCTCAAACCAGCTGACATGCTTCAAAACATATCTAACCAGCATATGCTTTTTTTTCAACAAGGATAGCCAGTCCCATCATATGACCTTAGCCTTACACTGTGCCATGAGAGAAGTGCAAAATTAGGTCATCACAGAGATTTCATCCCAGAGGACTGGTTTTGGCAACCTGGTGCCTGTCTCCAAATTTCCTACAAAACAAAACCTGGTAAATTGACAAAAACACAGAACTCAATGGGCACACTGATTGTGTTGCTTATTTAAACATCATCTGGCAGAGAATTATGAAACGAAACAGATGTGAAGCAGCAGTTTGGGTGGAGATGGAAGACCACCGATTCCATTTTTATCATGTCTGTCTGTCTGGCTTATAGTAGCTTTTCGGTGTAGGATCAGACAAGCAGGTTATCTTGCTGGTTAGCCATTACTACACACACTTCTTTCCAGTATTTTCAATACTGGTTTTGGCAACCTGGTGCCTGTCTCCAAATTTCCTACAAAACAAAACCTGGTAAATTGACAAAAACACAGAACTCAATGGGCACACTGATTGTGTTGCTTATTTAAACATCATCTGGCAGAGAATTATGAAACGAAACAGATGTGAAGCAGCAGTTTGGGTGGAGATGGAAGACCACCGATTCCATTTTTATCATGTCTGTCTGTCTGGCTTATAGTAGCTTTTGGGTGTAGGATCAGACAAGCAGGTTATCTTGCTGGTTAGCCATTACTACACACACACTTCTTTCCAGTATTTTCAATATTTTCAACGTCAACAAACAGGTTATGGATGTTTGTGGATCTGAGCAAATGCCACCTATGGTAAAGAAGGATGAATCCTCAATGTGTTTTAATGGATAACACTATCTGTCCTGTCCTAACCTCTTGACCTCCCCAATTTTCCACATGGTCTTTCAAGCTAGAGAGGCTGCTGGAATGGAGTCTAAAGAGAACTATGTGGAACCTAAACCGTCATTAAGGATTGTAAGGTCTTCTAGATGGAACCAAGATTACATTGTGATTCAGTTAAATCCTTATTAATCCTTATTACTTTATTAAAGGACAATCTTTACATGAGCCAAAGGATTCAAGCCATCTGGAGGGGTCACAAAGAATTTCTCTTACTGCAACCCAAGAGAAAGCAAAGTTTTTGTCTGTGGAGATCAAGCAAATAAAGATAATGTTTCTCCTAGCTCAGAATGTAGTTCCAACCAAGCTTCCCCTGGCATCCCCCGTTTCCAATCCAATCCAGTTCACTTGGCAAGAGGATTTGAATAACAGAGCTTCTCTCGTGGATAAGTTGAGTTAATGTCTGCAACAATATCTGGCGAAGCAAGACAGTGCAAGGCAAAGTACTTTACTTTTTTCACCACTTACAGCTTCCTGACTTCATTGGGCCTCCAGCATCTGTTGCAAATAATTCTAGGCTCTAACCAGTGGTGTAGCGGACGGGCACGCAGGGCACCGCGTGGTGGGGGGCCCCCCCCAAAATGTTAGGGTTGTTCATTTTGGTAATTTTCTTGACCGACAACTGATGCTCATTAACCGATGATTAACCATTAACCGAAAAAACTAGAATGTTAAATTAGATTTAGTGACCATTAAAAATACCACAGATATTTTCCCCCCTCTTTTCAGGGGTTCAGTGCAAATAGCAGCACAAACAACAACAGAACTGGGGGATTCATTGTCTCATCATCACGCACCTGCCGCGCTTCAGTGAAGGGAGAAAAACTGAATAAAACTACATATATAAAAGGAAGAAAATAAATAGGCCTGCACGAAATGTTTCACTTAAATAATTAATACATTAACAAAAACAAAAACAAAAACAACAAAACTGCGCTGCAGTTTCTGAGCTCCGTTTACAGGCTCATATCGGCCGATAATATCGGCAAAACGATATATCGATCGGGCTCTAATCTTCACATGCTCATATAGCAGCCTGCGTGACATATGATATGTGGAAAAACGACCTTTCCATTGATGTACAAATTGACAGCGAATACAAGAGTCAGGTTAATTTTTGGACCCAGGTGCTCACTAGAATTACTGACGTCACTCTGACTTTAGCTTCATGTAATCTGGCATTCAGAGGGCATAATGAAAAATTGTATGAACCAAACAATGGGAACTTTTTGTCAGTGATTGAATTGTTAGCCCGTTATGACCCAGTGTTGCGAGAGTTACTGGATAAAAAAAAGACACATCAATTATTTAAGCCCAGAAATTCAGAATGAATTGATTGCTTTATTATCTCGGAAGGTGCACGACCAAATTGTGTCTGAGATAAAGGAGGCAGAATTGTATTCAATCATAATGGACACTACTCAGGATATCAGCAAAGTCGATCAACTCAGCCAAATATTCAGATAGGCTACGTTACCGTTCGCACAAATGAAAATGATAATCCACTCGGCATTGAAGTCAATGAGAGTTTTCTGGGATTCCAGAATATCACGGATCAAACTGCAGAGGGTCTCAAACAAAAAATCCTCGATTTGATCCAAAGTAACCCAGCAAACATTTGGACGTTTAATGACCGTTGAAAAGACGTCCCTCCGACACGTCCCGTCATGGTTGGAAAATATATCCAAAATGAAAATTGAACCGACGTCTTTGACGTCTTCTGTCCGTGAATTACACGTCTTTTCTGCACGTCCCTGGACGTCTAAATGTGTCATCTTCTGGATGTTTATAAGATGTGTTGCTGCATAATTTAAGTATAAGCCTGCATATAAAATAATCACACACCCATTGTGCACGTGTGAGGAGGGTCAGTCGCCAGCTGAGGAGAGTGAGTCGCCCGCCGTGCGAGGAAGGTGAGTCGCCAGCTGAGTGTTCTAATTTACCACATATTTTATTGTGAATACTACATTTAAAAAAAAAAATTATTCCATTTGTTAAACAGCTACTATTCAAACAAGAAAATAAAAATAGTAGAATGTGGTCAAGTCTGAGTCTATGACAATGGCATTTTCTCTAACACTTTTACATTAATGTTAAGCAGCCATTAATCAAACAAGCGTCTTTGCGAGTATCCTCGTAAACACAGTTATTTGTGTCTTAAATGAATGTTGATAGTTAAAGATAAAGCATTTGTTAGGCTATATGAATAGGCGTAATTTGCGGGTGGGACGGGTGGGACCATTATTGTGATGGGGGGCCCTGCAGTAAGTCATAGCCCCGGAGCCCAGTGCGGTCTTAATGCGGCCCTGCCTGTGACAGTGGCAAGTGGTCTTTTTCTAAACTAAAACTAATAAAAACCTGCCTGAGAAGCACAATGAGTCAGGACAGGCTTTCCGAACTTGCGATTCTCAGCATTGAAAGCCAGCGCGCGCGTCAGATGGACATATCAGACATTGTGAAGGACTTTGCGCAGAAAAATGCTAGGAGAAAGGGACGTTTTGGACGTTTTTAAAGGTGAAATGCTTCATTGCATTCTTTCACTAGATGCTTTTTATGGGTAGCTTGAATGTAAAAAAAAAAAAAAGTCATGATTTCGTTGTATTCTCATTTGTAAAAAAAATACAAATAAATCATTGTTACAGATGCAGTAAATAGTTTTAACGCAAAATAAATTGTAAAAAAATTTACAATTGGGGGGGGGGGCTGCGGAGTTTGCGCAACGCCACTGGCTCTAACCTTCCTTAAATCCCACTGGTATAAATGAATACTTGACTCAGCAACTAATTGATCACCCATTGATATTTTCAGTCTGTCATCATAAAATAAACCCAGGTTTTTATCCCAGTAACCAGCAGGGATGGTCTGAGCGCAGCCTTATTAAATGCAGGTAAATGATCCCAAAATCCTGGAATACACAAAAGAATAAATAGGATTGTGCCTGTTCTGAAGACATATGAGAGGAGACCAATCCTGATTTCCATTTAACAGGGGAAGGTTTAAATTATTTCCTTTAACTCGTGCAGATAGAAAGGGACCATGGATGGGGAAGGACCACTCATCTTCATTTTTTTTCTAGCTTGTCCGTGAAACATCCTGCAGAGCTGTAGCTAGAACTTTCAGTGTCCCATTGGCAATGATACATAGGGCATGCGAGTCTATCTGTAAAGTACTAATAAAACATCTTCCATAAAAAGGGAGAAGTTGAGTAGCTGCTGCGATATTGATGAAATATTAATGACATTACAGTAAATGCCGTGATACACCACATCCCCATCAAAACATTAGCAGCAAAGTCAACTACAGCCAGCTGTAGTGTTCTGTAGGGTGTTTGATTGCTCAGTTATCACTATGCATGTCTAGAGAGAAGCGTTCGATTAAAAAGGTCTGTCTCTGTTGGAGAAGCTTGCTCTGTTCTGTGATAAGCAAAGTTAGTTACGTGCTGATATCTGAAGTAAACAAATGAGCAGAGAGTTGCCAAAAAGAACTCTGTTTCCTGGTCTTTTGTACACCACATTTTGGCGACGAGGATGGCTGATTGCTCTATACCACCACCTTTCCTCGCACTCCGTGGCGAGCCTCCTGCTCCGTGGTCCCGCTGGCTGCAGTCTTTTGAAACCTATCTTGTCACAGCGGGCCTTACTAAAGTGAGCGCGCTCAGAAAAAAGGCGCTGCTGCAACACTGTCTGGGTGTAGAAGGACAGCGAGTGCTCGGGACGTTCAACGCTGACAACGACACCACTTATGACAAGGCCGTGACTCGGTTGAATAAGTATTTCGGTGCCCCACAGAGTGTTTTGCTGTGCCGGTTCATATTTAGCCGACGCCACCAGCTTTCCTGTGAGTCAGTTCATCAGTACGTCGCTAACCTAAGAGGACTGGCCAACTCCTGTAAATTTGGGGTGGCTGCGTGACGAAATGATTCGTGATCAACTAATTGAAAACACAAATAGTGAGAAAATTCGGGAAGTTCTATTATTGGAATGTGATGATTTATCATTGTCTAGAGCAGTGTTTCCCAACCGGGGTGCCGTCTGTCGAGAGAAGGGTGCCGTGTAAAAAAATCTTTTTTTAATATTTTTAAATTGCTAAAAAAAAATTGTTTTAAAAGCAGCTATTATATAATATCCATTTCTGATGTCGCCAATAATTAGAGATGCACTGAAATTCCAGCTGCCGAAAAATTGTTCACCGCTCAGGTTTCACTTAAATTGCTAAAATGTTCAAAAAAGCAGCTATTATATAATATCCATTTCTGATGTCGCCAATAATTAGAGATGCACTGAAATTCCAGCTGCCGAAAAATTGTTCACCGCTCAGGTTTCACTTTCACGTGGTGTGACGCTCTGTATCCCGCTCTATGCGTGTGTGTGTGCTCTACTCAGTCGACGTGTCGGAGGGACGTCTTTTCAACGGTCATTAAACGTCCAAATGTTTGCTGGGTTACGGCCCATGTGAGTGCTCCACTTATATACCGTTCATGCTCATCGGAACATCAAAGTCCACTCAAAAATTGAGCTGACAGGAAACCTCTATGTAGTACAGTATTGTTTCTGTTTGCAATAGCCCTACTGTGCTGTAACAAGGTGTGGTAAATGGGCAACTCTGGTAACACTGCCCTCTCATTCATTGATCTGCTAACCGTTATGCTCACGTGTCCTCTGATAATAATAGCTTTCTAGGATTAAACATTTGGATAATTGGTAAAAAAAAAAATTAATAATAATCTCTTAATAGCCCTACTGTGTGTTAGACCTACCTGAAAAACTAAAAAGCAATTTATTTCATTTGTAGGCCTATCATTATATTTTATTTGTGCTATCATTAGTAATTTCTTTATCTGTTCTTATTTTATTATTAACTGCTTAGCCTCCTTGTCATTTTTTATTCAATTCAAAGTTTTAAATCAAGCTATCTCGTGCTACTGCAACAAAATTACCCAACTCTAAAATCAAAAATACACAGAGTGAGCAACACTTTGTTTAATTGCCATTATAACTAGCTATCTCACAATGTTTACATATGAATAAAAGCCTACATTAAAAAACACACAGCAACAGCGCATGCAACCACAACAACAGCAATGCTGTGGTAACTCTAGATCTCACTCTCATAACACCAGGGCTCATAACTGCCCAGCCCGGGGCCAAACATGCCACAACAAAAAAAAATAATTTTGCCAATGTCTGTCGATCAGCCCCCACCAGATCAGAGACACGCACAGCCCAGTCTATACCCACCATTATTCATAATGTGACATCAGGACTGGCAACATTGAAATCATGTGCTGTAACTTTAAATTATGTGTGCGTCCCATTGCTCTTAGATACAGGAGCTAGTGTATCTCCTCTGAATGCCGATACGTACAGAGTTTTTAACTCACTTCCCTTGGGTGCGCCCTCTACTGGTATGGCAACTCCAAAATAGAAATACTGAGCTCACGTGAAAAAAAACACTCCCTTCGTTTGTATTCCATGTGGCAAAAAAGGGAGCAAATTTGATGGGGCTAGATCTGTTCGCTGCTTTGGGGTTCACGTTGGTGTGCTCAGGAGGGCTGCTATTCTGGCTGTGACTACAACCTGGCAGCAACAGTGGCCAGTACTGTTCGAAGGGCTGGGCTGCCTCACCACATTCAACTATCAACCTCTCCTCAATCCCACTGTCACCACTGTTATTCAACCATTACATCGCATTCCCCTGGCCCTTTGTGATGGGTTGACAGCCGAACTGCAGAGGCTGCAAGACGCAGGTATCATTGAGCCTGTGGACGCTTCGCCCTGGGTTTCAAATCTGGTGGTGGCTACAAAAAAATCAGGTGCCCTATGTATATGTGTGGATTTGTGGCATGTAAACAAGGCAGTAATCCCTGACAATATCCACTGCCGACTGCAGAGGAACTCACAGCCCAATTCTATGGCTCTACAGTGTTCTCCAAGTTGGACCTTAGAGAAGGGTATCTGCAGGTGCCTTTACATCCAAGCAGCAGGAACCTGACAGCTTTTGTGACACACACGGGGGTCTTTCGCTATACCAGAATGTGGTTTGGCCTTAGCTCCGTCCCCTTCCCGCTTCCAGAAAATAATGACTTCTGTGTTAGCTGGCATACCAGGTGTGGTCATTTATCTGGATGATGGGGTTGTGCATGGGGCAACTAGGCAGATCCATGACGAGTGCCTAAGTAATGTGTTTGATGCACTAGCCAAGCAGCACTTGACTCTCAATGGTGACAAATGTCTCTTTGCTGTGCCAACCATTGACTTTGTGGGATTCAAATTGTCGGCAGAGGGCATTCATTCGCTTCATTCCAATGTGGAGTCTATTCAGTCCATCCCCGAACCAGCTTCGCCAGCACAAGTAGCTTCCTTTCTGGGAATGACAGGCTATTATTTGAAGTTTCTTCCCCAGTATTCAGCCACTACAGCCCCTTTTTATTATTTTTATTATTGCAGAAAGATTAACCCTGGGTATGGACTCAAGCGTGTATGGAGGCTGAGCATACACTTAATGCTCAGCTTACATCACCACCAGTGCTAGCGCATTTCAGCACCTCTTGTGACACTCTGGTCACCTACGACTCATCTGCCACAGCAATTGGTGCTGTGCTTTCACAAGTACAGAATGGTGTCGAAAAGCCCATAGCCTTTGCCTCTCACGCCTTTAACCCAACGGAGCAACGGTATTCAGTGGGGGAGCGAGAAGCGCTAGCATGTGTCTGGGCATGCGAAAGATGGCACTTGTACCTATATGTTGCCATTTCACCCTGAGGATGGACCATCACGCCCTGGTGACATTGCTCGTGACATCAGGAACGGGCCACAAACCACTGAGACTGCATCGCTGGTACGATCATCTTTGGCAGTATAATTACAGTCTGCAATTTTCCCCAGGGCGTGACAATGTGGTAGCCAACCTTTTGTCCTGCTCCATTCCTGCTGAAAATACATCCACAGGTAGTAGTGATGTTGAAACTGACATTATTCAGGTGCTATACATTCCCCTGCAGGATGTAGTGTCACTACAGGAGCTCAAAACAGCCTCCGACCAGGACCCTATCCTCTCACAGCACCGCACTTACATCCGGGGTGGCTGGCCATCAGATGTATCTGGAGAACTAGCTGCTTTTTCCCCGGGCAAAGATGAGCTGTCCTTTTGGAATGATGTCTGCGTGGCTCGTGGGCTTTGCACTGTGGTCCCAGGGTCCCTTCGTGCGTGCGTGTTAGCAATGGCGCACGAGGGCCACCTGGGCATAGTGAAGCTCAAACAGCGCTGCCGAGACCGGGTGTGGTGGCCAGGAATAGATAGGGAGATTGAAGCACTGGTCAAGGACTGTTCAGTCTGCTTCGCGAGTGGTAAGACAGGCCACACACCTCCACCACCCCTGCGGCCCTTAGCCTGGCCCTCTCAACCCTGGCAGCACTTACAGCTGGATATTTGTGGTGAGATTCACGGGGTTCCCCACAATCAGCGATACCTAGTTGTAGTTTATGACTTGCACTCCAAATGGCCTGAATTGACTGCTATGGGTTCTGTCACCTCCCAGGTCATTGTGGATTTTTTGGACTCTTTGTTTTCACGCTGGGGCCTACCACAGATAATCACAACAGACAATGGCCCTCAGTTTATCTCAGGCGACTTCAAATCCTACCTGGAGAGTAAGGGTATTAAACACATCCGCACAGCCCTTTATCACCCCCAGGCTAACAGTGGCATGGAGCGGTTTCATCAGCCCTTAAAATTGTTCTCAGAGCACACCTGGCCCAAGGGTGTCCTTTCAGTCAGACCAGTCGCCTCACCTTGCTGCACTACAGGGCCTCTCATTATTGCACCATGGGTGTTTCCCCTGCTTTTCTCATGCTGGGTAGGGAGCTCAATTTGCCGCTTGCTCGGCTCCGCCCACCTGTGCCCCTGAAGCCTCCCCCAGGAGTTAAAGCTTCTGTCTCTTGCCAACAGCCCCGTTTAAAAAGACATTTCGAGAAACGTAAGCATGCCAAAGTGCGGGACATTGCCGTAAATGACTGGGTTAGGGTTTGTAGGCCTCACAGGGGAAACAAACTGGCATCATTCTGGTCCTCTCCTCTGAGAATTACCCGCCAGCTTGGCCCGGCATCTTACCTTTTGAACGATGGTACCCGGTGGCACTCTGGCTGTCTTTGTAAAATGCCAGCACCATGTCAAGATGCTGCACAAAGAAGCAACACCCTGCCTTAGACCACTCCTACAGTGGAGCAGGATGCCTGAACACCTCAGGCTGTCAGCACAGGCCCAGACTTTACCTTGCCTCAAGGTCCCATCTTCCCATCTCAGCCACAGGGGGGGTGATGTAGTGTTCCGTAGGGTGTTTGATTGCTCAGTTATCACTATGCATGTCTAGAGAGAAGCGTTCGATTAAAAAGGTCTGTCTCTGTTGGAGAAGCTTGTTCTGTTCTGTTGTAAGAAAAGTTAGTTAAGTGCTGATATCTGAAGTAAACAAATGAGCAGAGAGTTGCCAAAAAGAACTCTCTGTTTCCTGGTCTTTTGTACACCACACCAACGTCTAGCTTGTAGTTCTATGACTACCTGAGAGGAAATAACTATCTATTTTGAAAGGTGACAGTAGCCTATATTTGTCATTCAAAAAGGGGCCAAAAAGCCCCTGATGGCATCCACCTAAAACAAATAGTGCAAAACACACCATACAAACTGAGCTGATAGACACTCAATGTCAGTCCAACATTGGCCAACGACCACTATTTTTAGAGTAGTTTATTGAATTTAAATGTTGTTAGTTAATATTTTAAAATTGTATTCACATCACTTTATTTAAAATATTAAGAAATAACAACTACAAGACATGCTTGAGTTCATTAATAAATATTTCCTTTTATGAAACATTATTATGTTTTGTACAATTATTGTAACAGTTTAAGAATCAATCGATCAAACAAACATGGACAGGAAATGCTCCTCTACACTTCTGCTCTCTCTTGCATCTTTTTCCTCTTCCAACTTCAGGAAGTCCAAGAGGTTACTGGATCTTTTCCTTTTGCATCCAGCCTGGGGGAAGGATGGAGTGGTATCTACAAACAGATGAATCTGATGGCCCTAGTTCTTGCTGAGCGGTTGAGGATATTAAAACGGGTGGTGTAATAGAACAATGGTTTTCAATAGCCTCATTCATAAGATGAACCAAGGCCGTGTTGCAGCAGTAGCCTCTTCTGACTCTGATCCATACTGCTAGCCATAAACCTCTAAACCAGAAAAAGATAAACTTTGCAAGAAAGGACAGAATTATCTAGAAGAAAATTAATATCTTTGGAGATGATAAAACCAGTGCTTGAAGTGGAAAAAAAGAAGTGCCGGTACACAACCCCCCCCCCCTTATTTATTCATTTATTTATATTAAATAAATAAGTACTTTTTAATAATTCACATTGTATGTATAGTGCCACAATCAATCAATCAATCAATAATTAAATAAAAGTCTTCAATACAAATTAGCACAAGTCAATCTGCGATACCAAACAGGACCACAGGGAGACGCCAAAGACCACTAAACCTACTATATGGATCCATTCAGACTCGCTAAACCTCTGACCACCTTTAGCCATCATCTATTATAATACACTCTTGCTTTTAAGCCAAATACACG